AATTTTGTTTTACTTACAAGGTTATTTTAAAATTGAACATGGCACCCCTTTCAGGAAAACCAACAACTTCATAATGCTTTTTAGCTAGATTCAGGCCTGTCCCACGGCAACATGCTGATAATTTAGCTTTTAGCTTTTTAAGCCTCAGACATGTCTAGTACCAGACGTACACCACTGTTCAAAAGTTGGCGGTCAGTAATATATATTTTTTTTCAGTAAGGATGCAATAAATATAGCTTAAAATTAAAGGCAATTATAATGTAACAGAAGATTTCTATTTGAAATTAATTCTGTTCTTTTGATGTCTATATAGCCTACATCTAAGAATCCTTTTCAAAATTTATCACGGTTTATACAAAAGCACTACAAAAACTGTTTTCAACATTGATAATAATAAGAAATGTTTCTTGAGCATCAAATCAGTATTCAGTAATCAGTATTATCACTATGCCCTGAAGAAGGCTCCATGCGTGGGCGTTTTAAAGTTGTCCGTTTAGGACATGTCATTTTTGTAATAAAGACATTTTAATTAAGGAGTGCCTCGGTTATCAGAGAATTCTTTCTCTACACCGTCTCATCAAATCAGTATTATTATGATTTCGGAAGAATCATGTGACACTGAAGACTGGAGTAATGATGCTGAATATTCAGCGTTGCATCACAGAAAATAAAAAGTTATTTTCAATATTAATAACATTCCACAATATCACTGTTCTAAATATTTACTTTAAGTTTTTTGATCAAATAAATGCAGCCTTGAGTATAAAAAAGAAAAAGATCTCACAGACCCCTAAGTTTTGAACGGTGGTGATCTAGTACTTAGAAGCCCACAAAAACATTTTGATGAGGAAACCTTCAGTATTACTTCTGTAATATGATATAAAATAGTTTTACCACTAACTACTGTACAGAGCCTTATTGAATGTTAGGCCTATATGATATTAGTGCTTTTTAACTAAACATACATAATACTACAATTATTAAGAATGTACTTAAATGTATTTTTCTGTACTTAAATTTCCTCCTTTCCTCTTCATTATTTATATAAAGCAAGACATGGACAGATGAAAGACTTGTGGCCAGCAGAGGGCGATACATGATTTACATTTATTTTAATTCGCTTTGGTACTATTTTCACAAGTAAGGTACATGTACATCCTCAAAACTCTTACTGATCAAAAATCTAAACTGATCACACTTGTAACACAGCTAGTCATTCTTTCAAAACCTGATCCCATGCTTTCATTACAGTTATACTACACATTTTTCAGTCCACATAATCATTGTTTCAAACACAAGATTATTGTAATATGTAATGAGAACAAATTTTGGTTTAATCACCTGAACACAACAGTATGATCTTCTTTCAGTTTAGTACTTTAACAATAAGTTAATTTAATAGCGAACAATACAAGATACATGTTTCAAATTACCCTTGTTGCTGAAATAATTACAGTAACACAGGGTACAGATACCACATTAGAAAATAGACTTACATTACCTAACATAAAATCCATAATGTGAAGGTATCTATTCAGTGTGTTATCAAAAGGTGTGATGAAGTTATGAAACTGACATGAGGTTTTGTGTAGAACAGAGTTTGCCGGCAATACATGTTCTCACTGTGCCATATGACTGAATCTATTACTGTATTTGACCTTTATAAGGGTTAGTTATAGTAATGTGGCAGTCTCTACCATAATCGGTTTACAGTATAACATGGCATACATACTGGAATGTAAAATGCTGAATTTGATGGCATTTGTCTCCCTTCTGATGCATTTGATCAATCTGATGTTACAGTCATTGACCGTTCCCTCTCCCTTGTACTCTATCTTGATCTATGTTCACAAATGGCAAATGTATCTGTCTCTCTCTCTCTGAAAACTGTCAACTGTAGATAGAATCAATATCTATAGAGATCTATAGGTGTACCAAATGATTAATTGATTAACCATTAAGTTCAGTTCAATTAAATAATAGACAAATGTATTAAACTGAATGAGAAGAGATGCAAATCAAAAGTTTGATAGTAATAGCATTATGAAAGACTTACAGTTGTGAATGAAACATTTATATAGATGAAACACTTATTTTGAGTTGTGAAAAGGATACTTTGTGATTTTGTGTATTGTACCAACACAATTGAAAATATGCTAGAATGTTTAAAAAAAACACTTTTGATGATCTGTTGTGATATTAGTACTAAGATCTTTGAGAATGTAGCCTAGACCTTACTTGAGAAAATAGTATCAAAGCGAATAAAAAAAAATTTAAATAGACATAGCACGGCGGCAATCCAATTCTATTTGGAAAAAAAATGCTGTGTAATATTTAACATTGACCACATGATTTCAGGAATCATTCTGTAATTGTTACAGGAAATCTACAACACTCTCTTAACACGCATTAAAGCATAAAAAAAGACAGAGTGATCAGCATGGTTATTGGCATAGATATCCATAATAAAGGCTAGATGTCTTACGGCGGAGTCTCTATCGTCATCACCGGCGGCCATCTTGTCACAGGCTAGCTTTCTGGTGGGCTCTGTGGTACTGATGTATGGTGAGAACACATATACTCTTATCTTGCTGAAATCTTGCTGAAATCTTAACGGATTTTCAAACGGTTTGGTTTCTTACAAACGTTATTAACGTGGCTAGATAATTTTGGTTGATTATTTATTTATACACTTATTTTTCATAAGTGTGCAGTGTCATAACTACGTTTATAACAAACCAAACCGTTTGTTATGGTTATTTAAAAAGTACATGCACCATTAACACAATGTTACGAGTGAGCGAGCTGCCTGTGACAAGATGGCCGCCAGGTGCTGACGTCGACCTCCATTGGCCAGCAGCGCGGACGAGACATCTAGCCTTTATTATGGATATCTATGGTTATTGGTGCGTTCAAGTCCTCCTGGGAAGTTCGTACTTACGAGGTGGGAAGTCGTGTTTATGACGGCATGTGCGTCACTTTCGTCGGAGTAAGATGGCGGTGTACTTTCTCTTAATTAATTACACAAAAGGTTTCTTAAACTAGTTCTAGAAAATGAACAAAAGAAATGTGCATCAGATGTGCTTTGGTTTTTTATGTTTTTTAATTAATTTATGAAGCCACTGCAAACTTTATCGTTACATATTACATTGTTATATTATAATGCAGTCATATTCTGTGCAGGCAATTAGCTTACTTCGCTGTTAATAGAAAAGTCTAGTAATATCACTGCTAAATAGGCTACCTTTAAGTATTGTGGTATTCCACCATGTTTCAGTGACACGCCCCCAACTCGTAAAGATCGGGGCTTAAAGAAAATCCCGAGCTTCCCTCTCGTATTTACGACATTGTGTGCTCAAATCGTAAATACGATCTTTACGAGATGAGTTATGGTGCGTTCACGTGCTATGGAAAATATGATATTTTCCACTTGTGAACTGGTATTTACCAGTGTGTTGCGTTCAAGTGCTTTTGTTGTCGTAATGTGGTAAAAAGATGGAGATTCAGACCAGTTATTTAGCTAAAACTATTTTAGATTGCTTAAGTCATCTGCTACAGCAAGAAAATGATTTATCAAAACTCAAACGTAAATAATATATGCTTTATATTTTCTAGATCATGAATAGTACATATTTTTACCATTCACAACTCTTGCGTTGCTCTCCGCCATTTTGAAAAGGTAAAAGGTAATCTCATCTCGGCAACTCGTGCATCAAAATATTCTACGAGTTGCCCAGTGGAAAATACCACATGAGGGGGTGTTCATGTGCATTTTCCATGTCGGCTTTTGGTATTTACCATAATTACCATAGCACGTGAACGCACCATTACTGGTTGAATTGAACACACCATATGAATGTGCTACATTTTTAACACCGCCGTTATTAGGAGCGGATAACCGTCCTGTGACGATCACAAAATGTGTTTTTACCAAGGGGGTAATCCATCGACCGGAAGTTGAAGCCGGCCGGGTGCCGCCATGTTGTAGCAGAACTTCACTTACGTTAGCATTTCCATTGACTCCCATTCATTTTGGCGTCACTTTGACAGCGAATAACTTTACATCTGAGGCGTTTAAAGACTCCATTTGTCCATTGTTTATTTCTAAAGAAACACGACAATGTATAAAGGGCTCCATTACCTTCTATGTTACATTATGGCCCCATAGAAACAGATTTTGTAAAAATAGGCTAACGATTGCGTCATAACCACTCGACTCTCTGTCGCGCTGTACAGAAATTACCGTACAGACAGCAGGAGAAGCTCGCAGGCAATCGGGGGGACGTCCCGTCAAGGGAGAAGCCCATAGATAATGAGTCCATAAAAGCAACGGAATACTTACTCCTGCTCACTCACGCCAAAGAACTCTTTGCTCAAGTTCCCCGTCTCTGCAAGATTAACGTTGGCAATTTTCACGCACAGCTACTAGAAGAGTAACGTCTGTCAGACAGGTTGCTCACGTCATCAAGCTTAGTTTGAGTCGGTTTGAGTCTGCGCGTCAGGAACGGAAGTGCTCAAAAATCGCTAAAAATGGGCTTCAACTGTCTCAACTGAGTTCCAATGAGATGGCTCTGTCCACTTCTTATACTGTCTATGGTTTTTACACTTTTGAATGTACAGTATGACGGCTGGGTCCCTGATTCCAATGTGAACCCCCTGCTTATTAATACTGCAGAATAGGGTGTAAGATATGTGATGATTGGCCAGTACACAATGTTCTGATATGGCTTGTAAAAAACATAATTGGGTGTAATTGAGCGTTTCTCTTCCATAATCCAAATGTTTGTCTCGGCAGGGGCTCGGCACCGGCAGTCCTGTAACATACCAGTTGCGATCCAGCTGTCGGCCACATGTGTGTGATGATGGGGTCGTTGAGTCCATACTCAGCTCTACATCATATCCTTTCTTTCAGCATGGCTGCGGACCACAATGTTGGGATGAACAGAAGGTGACTGAAGAACCTCAGCTTTGTCCAGAAGGTTCTGGGTCTTAGTTGGAGATGGGTGTAGTGTGAAAATGCTGAGGAAAGCCCTTCTGAGGATGAGAGGGTGGGGCTGTTGGGCCTAATCCTGTTATCCCGGCCTTCTTAATCCAGCTCCAGTCAGTCTTTACACCTCTTCAGTCGCACAATACAAATACAAACACACTTCCAATACAAATACATCACATACATCATGGAGGACAGCGTTATGCTAGGTGTTGAAGGGATCAAGAAGACCATCTTGCATGGAGGGACCAGAGAGAAGCCCAAATTTATCACAGGAACTAAGGTACAGCCTCACAGTCCAATATATAGAACTGGTTCCAGGATGCGAGTGATTTAATTGTTTGACTAATTTAATCTAGGGATCACGTCTTTTTTCATTACACATGTAACAGGTTGTCTTTATAGGATTATAGAATCCAGAGTAGACACAGTTGATTTCCTGACTCTTTAATTTCATAATAAGTTTATCTTTGCACTTGTTGGGAATGTCTGATTTCAAATAAGCATATGGTATAGTATATTGGCTTATAAGGGATTTTAGGAATGGCTTCGATTTTTGTGTGGAAATAACAGCAAATTTAAATGCTGTTAACTAAATGCAATCTTTCTAACTCTTCCATGTTGCTTTCAGGTGACGTTTCATTTCCGCACACAGCTCTGCAATGATGATCGCACCGTGATAGATGACAGTAAGAAGGCAGGTATGCCCATGGAAATGGTGATCGGGAACATGTTTAAACTGGATGTCTGGGAGACTCTGCTCATGTCCATGCACATAGGGGAGGTGGCTGAGTTCTGGTGTGATGTCATTGTAAGTATATTGTGATCCTCCATGTGGTCCGTAGGGAAACAAACTACTCAGGTGGAATACAACTTTGTGATTAAATTGAATTGAAATGAATTTAATGAATATGAATTATTATTAAGTATAAAATGTATTGTACTTGTTACATTGTTAAAACCTACAATTGCAATTATATGAATTTATATCCATTTTATACTTCATCAAATTCAAATTGTAACTTCAATTCTACACTGTTAAAATTCCAACTTAAAAAAGTGTGTTCATGCTGCCTTAAAACTTGAAATTTAGTCAACTTGAAATGTGAAATGACAACTTGGTTTTTTGAGTTGACTAAACTTAAGGCAGTGAACACACTTTTAAGTTGAAACAACCTTTTTTTACATTGTACATCCTCCCTCAAATTCTCAATGGAGCGAATTTAAGTAATCAATATATGTAAGATTATATAAATATACACTGCCGTTCAAGAGTTTTAGGGTTGGTAAGATTTTTTTTTTTTTTTTTAAAAACTCTTATGCTCTCATGCTCACCAAGGCTGTAAAGTAAAACCAGTAATATTGTGGAATATTATTGCAATTTAAAACAACTGTTTTCTATTTTAACCTGTGATGGCTATTTTAACATGTATTCCTGTAATGCAATGCTGAATTTTCAGCATCATTACTTCAGTCTTCAGTGTCACATGATCCTTCATAAATCATTCTTTACGTTAAAAATAGTGTCGCTGCTTAATATTTTTATGAAAACTGTAATACTATTTTCAGGATTCTTCGATGAACAGAAATTTGAAATACAATTTTTTGTAACAATGTCTTTACTGGCACTTCACACATCCTTGCTGAATAAATACTTGATTTCTTAAAAAAAAAAAAAAAACACTGACCCCAAGTTTTTGTACAGTAGTGTATGCATAATTAGACCGAACTTACACCTCAAGTTTGAATGAGGGTCAAAAAATCCATTATACCATTAAATACCATTTAACAGGACACTCATTATGAAATTAATGTCAGAACAGTATTTCTGTAATTAAACCTTTACACAGTAAATGCTTTTGGATGAGACATGGTGACGTTTCAGTCACGTAATTTTATGGCTGTGGAATATCACAGTGAGTTCCAGACTGGAGCATGTCATGCGTTAGCCTGACGGAAAGCTTAAATCTGTACAAAATAGGATTAATCTGAGTCTGTTCCACATGGTAAAATCATCATTTACAGCTGCCATCCCAGCTCCAGCGCATGAGGTAGATTACTGTGGCTGTATCAGCCTCGAGCATTATGGGAATGCCAAGATTGTTAATACAAACAGTTATGGACACATCTGAAACATTAACACACACTTTCAAGCTTTATAAAAGTGCCATGCCTTTTAAAATAGTTGATGGAATTTGAAATATGTTCAGATAATTCCAAATAAACGTAACTTTTACTCTGAAAAATGACTTATTTTAGAGCTTAGCAGTCATTATGTTTTCCGTGTTTAATGTTTTCTTTCTGTGGCCGAGAAGCACACCGGATTGTATCCAATAGTGGCTAAGAGTCTGCGGCGTATCGCAGTGGGGAAAGATCCGGTGGATTGGCACATTCACACCTGCGGGATGGCCAATATGTTTGCCTACCACAGCCTGGGCTATGACGACCTGGACGAGCTTCAGAAAGAACCACAGCCTCTTAACTTTGTAATGGAACTTCTCAAGGTCTGAATTCAATACTACTTTTAGGCTCATTGAGAAAAAATATTTGCATTCATTTTTAAATGAGCAGATATTTGATAAAGTGAGCATCCTTTGATCTGTATTTAATATGGATTTCACTTACAGTAGGCTACGTGAAGAAGAGGTCCCAAACACTGCATTAGCATATAAAGAAGGCTTTTCTGCAAGCTTTCAGTCTAAAGACTTTCCTCAGGCATTTGGGAAGATTTTTTAGAATGAAACGTTGCAGCGCTAATAAATATTTGAATTATTCTTTGCAGGCTACAGCAGTGTGCAGGACCTGGTCTTTATTAAGATGATTGCCATATGTGCACCAGCATTAATCTTTCATTGCTTTTTATTTGTGTATCTGCAATATGATTTTGGCTTATTCAATTTACGGCCTGAAGTAGATCTGTGCACAAGCAGTACATAAAATGACCACTAGGGGGAGTCAGGGGATTATTTTCAAACCTATTTATTCTCTTCTTTCAAGATACCCATGATATTAAATGGAAATTAGTTATATGTAAGAAACTACAATAATCGATAATGGATTCAGGTACAGCAGCCCAGTGAGTATGACAGAGAGTCCTGGGCTCTGAATGATGAGGAGAGGGTGAAAGCGGTACCTGTGCTCCACGGTCAAGGGAACAAGCTCTTCAAACAGGGCCGATATGAGGACGCCACACTGAAATATAAAGAAGCCATTATGTGTATCAAGAATGTGCAGACAAAGGTAAGAATACACCTCTGCAGCTGGTTTTTAATACATTAAGTAGCTTAAAAATGACTATATTCTGGGAAAAAATTATAGAATAAAAATGCCACTAATGTAATATTAACTAGGCATGGCACATCTCAATGAACTGAAATGTGTATGTTTCCTCAGGAAAAGGCATGGGAAGCTCCTTGGCTAAAACTGGAGAAGATGGCCAACATGCTCACTTTAAACTACTGTCAGTGTCTGCTGTGCATGGAGGAGTACTATGAGGTCATCGAACACACATCTGACATCATCAACCAGCACCCTGGTGAGTGTAAATTGTTAGTTCTCCCAGCATTTATGATGAGAAGATAATACCTGATGTGTTTTCCAGTCAAACGCACCAGCTGTAAGCATTCTCTGTATGTCGTAGGGGCGATGAAAGCCTTCTATCTGCGTGGCAAAGCGCACATGGAGGTGTGGAATGAAGCCGAGGCCAAAGATGATTTCATGCGAGTGCTGGATCTGGACCCTGGCATGAAAAAGACAGTCAAGAAAGAGCTTGCAGTTCTCAAAATGAGAATGGAAGTAAAAAACGAGGAGGACAGACTGAAGTACAAGGGCATGTTCGCAAAAATAGCAAGAGAGGAAGAGTCTCTAGAGCTGGAGATTCCAGAGCAAACATCACCAGCACAAGAGAGTCCAGAGGAAGAAACTGCTGAAGAACAAACAAACTCAATGCAAACGTCTCTAGAGCAAATAACTTTAGCACAATCAGGTCCAGAACAAACACCTTCTGAGCTATTAAGCTCTGATCATGTGATCCCAGAACACAACAACTACTCATCAACTCCAGAACAAACTACCAGAGAAGCTGCTACTCCAGAACAATTGAACGCAGTGCAAATACTTCTGGAGCAATCAACTTCTGAGGAAACATCTCCAGAGCATGCAACTCCTGAGCCAACATGTCCAGAACAAGCAGACCAGGACCCAGTGTCTTCAGATTCAGAACAAATGACTCCTGCTCAAATGACACCAGAATACTCAACACCTGCAAATGAACCTTAACATCACAACTTTTTCATGAGAAGAGCAACAATGATGGTGTGGGGTCAAGCCGAATCATTTTGACCTGTTTTACTTAGTAATGCTTTGTATTTTACATAATGTAAGACTTTATCATAGTGACTGTAGTTTTGCCAATCATCCAATAAAATAGGCTACTCACTAAATTACTATGTTGTGGAGCTAACTGGTCAGTCGCATTTTGTGTCTCAAAACATGATATTCATAAACTTGATGATAATTCCTTCACATGTGCACCAGTCTTTATGCATAGGCAAACAGTCTTGTAAAGAATTAAATAATATCAAATGTAATAATTAATAATGTTTGAATAAATTAAAATATTTTAACTGTAAATGTATTTAATTAATTGAGGTCTCCTGGATTTCTTGATTCTTAAACATTAGTCAGATTGCTATTGCCATTTCAAGTGAACAGTGAAAAATTCTGCCTTATGCTGCAGAAACATCTTATTACACTGCCTTTCATAGGTCACTTTAAAAAAAAAATCTTACTGACCTTGATCCTACAGATTGATAGCCTCATATACTCAAAGGATTCCACCCCTTTTTTCATCGTTCTTTGACCTAAAATATTTACCAGAAGCTAATTTTAAGTTAATAATGTAAAATCTAACAACACATTTGCATGTTAAATGTTCTATTATCATATTATTTTGATTGTTTTTCTTTTATAATGATTCATTTAAAATGTTATTTTTTATGATTTAATTCATTAGCTTTTCATCAAATAGCAACCCCAATTTGGGAAACCCTGCACTATACGTGTGTATGTACATATTGTCTGCACTGAGATTTATGAAACAACTTGCAATGCTATCTGTTAAAGGACAAACTGGATCAATAGCAATACATCATGATATTGTTTTAAGGGGATTCCCTTGACTCCATCCACATTTTTTCCAGCACATTCACATGCTCCTCATGCATGCTTGGGTCGGGACAACCAAGAACATTGTAACAGACTAATGATTTAATTATGATTAAATGAGGAACAGCCCATTATGCATAAATCATTCAAGCATCATCCATAATTTGATTAATGAAATATCGAGGTTTTGGGTTGATAAAAAAAAAAAAAACATAATTGCAGAAGCCTCGTGCATTTTTCCAAATAGCCTGCTTTCATTGAGAGAAAAAAAATATGGGCTGCTTTCTCTCTTACTGTATCCTCCTTTCAACCACTTGCATCTTTGACTATTAGCTAACTAACCAAATAATAAACAAGAGCTCAAGTGATTTTTGTTTATGATATATATATTAAAAAGGCTCACAAAAGACACAGGGAGGTATTGCAGCATCCCCAGGGAAGAAGATTGTGAGTGTTGCATGGGGAGTCCTGCAGGACCAGCGCACCTCCATCATTGATGCAGAGGAGGTGAGAGAGGAACATCCCACTCACTGCTGCGCAAATATACTTAACCTGCTGCAACATCACAAAAGAGCGCAAAGCACCCGCTTTTTCATTTATTTACCCGTGAAAACAGCTTTCTCTACGCCTTTTAAGACGTTTGGTTTGGGTAATGCTGCGGTGGAGATGCTGAAGTCCAGATGAGTCGCGTCTCTGTGGTTTAGTTGAGTGTGTGGGCAGAGGAGATCGTCTTCCGATCTGGATTGAACTGAGCGGAACTGAATCCATTAAACCTGATCACAAAGAGAGGATGACCATATCGACATGGGAGGATAATGCCACAGCGGCTCTTTGACTTGTTTTAATTAGTTTGGAAATAAATTGCAAAGCAAAATAATAATAATCTGGGCATCTTTATTCGACGTTTCAAGTCATATTAACCGAATAGCCTACAATCAAACGCGTGATTTGAAGTTGAAGAAATCGTAAATAATGGGAATTTAGCGCCGTCTGACTACTTTTATAATATTTCACATCTGCCAAAAGGAGTTTTTTCTTTCTTTCAGAAGTATTAACTTTGGATTTCCACAATGGCAATAAACACCGATACGGAGTTTGCGAAATCGAATCTGGGGGAGAGCGGCGGCACCCAACCAGCCGAGACCGAGAAACTCCTCGTGACCACCGAGCCCACCGGGGTGAAGACCTCCAGCTCCTTCACGGTCAATGTCGGGGGAGACAAGGATCTCGACGGGGATCAGAACGGCCACAGTCTGCCGCTGAGATCCGGATCAGAGGGGCAGCTCGGATCAGCTCCTCTCTCCCCGTCCAGAGTGAGCCTGAGCCACACATCATCCACCGGTAATGCCGCCCAAGAGCAGCAGAAACCCAAAGACTACCTCATACTGGTCATTTTTTCCTGCTTTTGTCCCGTGTGGCCACTAAGCATCGTTGCGTTGGTCTATTCAATTATGGTGAGTAAACAGTGATCAATAAGTTACAATTGAAATAATTCAAGGTGGGTTTTATTTCGTAATTCAGGCCAAAATTTCCACATTTTATATATTACGGACACGAAATTGTGATAAAAGTACAATACAAAAATCTCTTTTACTTCAATAAACAGTGTCTGTCTGTTGTATGGCAAGCCGTTTTACATTCATTCCTTAAAGCTACTGGTACTAGTATACTAACATAGGTTTAAATTAGCCTAGAAAGTCTGTAGTGACTATTCATAAGTAAACAACACTGTATCTATTCCCCCCCAGTTGAACTCACTGAGCTACAGTCTAATAAATACTGGTAATGTACAATTAAAAAAAGAGAAAAGGCTACTAACAAAACTGAAACCGATAGTAACTATTGGGATAGTTTTACTAAGAAATAAAAAATGTTAATAGTAATGGTAAAAAGTTACTAAATAATATCTAACCATCATTGAATTCATCATAGAATGGAAACGTTACTTACTATTGAGATTCTGACTAGTAGGCATACGGCTACTATGTAATAAGTACAGAGAAAGTGAAAATGATCACTAATAGTTGGATTACTTTTTTAGCAATTAAAACGACGTACTAAAATAGTTAGATACTAGTTAGTTTTAATAGAATTAGTTTAGTTTTAAATTGATACTATTGATTATAATTGCTAAAGTGACTTGCCATACTCTTGCAAATCATATGCAAAAGCACAGGAGCTGCAATGAGAGAGCAGAGCACAAATCCACTGACAGGTGTGATTTACAGCCCTGCATATGCTCGCAGTAAACGGACCTGACTGCGTGCTTGGGAGCTATTCGCCAGAAAATTGGTGCAGACTACATCCACCGCACATAAAGCTCCTACACAGCAGAAACTCTGGGGACTGTGGAGCAAAACAGTCATTTAGGAAGCATAAATGGGGTGTGAATGTTCTTTTAAAGCCAGAAAATGAATGAAAGCCTAATTTTGATTAAAAACATTGTAGAACAAGCTTTAGGTTCAAAACATTTTTTCAAAGCATACAAATATAATAATTAAAAAAGAAGAAGCCAAATATAATCTAAAAAATATAATTATTTCCATCCAAGTAACTTGGAGGACCGCACTGTGAGCGTGCACATGTAGGGTGTACCATTTATCTGTTTAATAAAGACCTAGCCTACAAGAGATTGCATCCATGACATGACTCTCCCTCTGGAAAAAATACTCTTGTTAGCGGATAACAATGTGCCCTGCTTTTTCTGATCAAAGATGAGTGCTTCTGTGTTCACTGTTTCATCCCCTCTCTCTGAAAGAACAGTGAATAAGCAGTGTACAGTATAACCTCAGCAGGATCATACAAATGAGACTTTCCAGCATAGTCACACAAGAGCAGCTTTTAAATATATCACTTCAATAAATGTAATAAGACTTAAGTGAATTTTAAACCATTGTGTGCTCAGTTTTCATTACAGTTTTCAAGTGTTTCAGTGGGACATTGGAGAAACACAAATTAGAGCATTAAATTCTCATCGAGTGTAAAGGCGCCATACAAATGTGCTTCATTTTCTTGTAAAAAAAATCTAAATCCTTTACATAATGCAGAATGCATCGAAACCAATATTCTGCAAACACCTGTTCTACTGACAACGCTCATGCAAATAGCATCTCCCAGCCTTGTATAAGCCTCCAAATAAGCCTTTCTTTCATGCCAACAGAGTGACAGGGGAAACCAGAGCATTGCTGACAATTCAACAGAGGGCAAGACAGATCAATTTAGCCTTCTGCCCTGCTATAACGACCCCTCTGTCTTATTTTGATTCTTAAAGAACCTCTATTATGCTTTTTTTCGGATATTACGTTTCATGTAGTGTGCTATACAGCCGTTTGTAAATGTAAAAGGTCTGCAAAGTTTCAAAGATTAAAGTGGACAAGTTATTGTCTCCCAAAGAAAGAACCGATTCTGAACTACCTGAAATGAGTATGATGAAAATAATTCCAGTCTTACTTCCGGCACGAACCTACTTAGGTTTATAACAAATTTGCGTAATGCCCGCCTATGGTCTTCATTGGCTGTCTATGAACAACGACGCAATCTTTACTGTTCGTATCACTGTGTGCTAGGAAAGCAAAATTCAAGCTGAAATTAAGATATTTCAACCCTTAAGTGCATAAATGTTTTGCCAATCATTATTACATATTCAGGTCTTTACCAACCCAGATCTATATCTATCACGGATGGATCTCTACCGGTTGCGATAATATAAAACTCTCCTGATATTACAATAACAATTACAGAAGAATAAAATAAAGCATATTTTGTTACCTTTTGGAGCTTTGAAAGGTTCAGATTGAGCAGATGTTTTATACCATCATTACTGTCCTCGTCAGAGCTCATTTCCCACATTCAGCATCTGGCTCATATCCACCATCTCAAACATATTCTCAAAACTGTCATTTTCAACATCTTCAAAATCAATATTTTGATCGCTGACAGCTTCTTCACCAGATCCACCATCAAGTGACAGTGACACTAATATTTGATACTGATAGTATAATATTTTATACTTGCTCTGTAGTAAATTGCTGAGCCATTTCAAGTTTTGCTGATGATATTTCCTATTCTTCTGTTTCCTGCCTGCAGTAACTATGAGTGAGATGTCACTTCATTATTGTGTATCAGACATTGCCACCTTTTGGAATAAAGGTGATTTGCACTTATTCAGTCATCAAAGATTCAATTATTGTTGTGCAGAAAAAAAAAAATTCTTACACTGTTACACACCTCGGGTTGTTTTTTATTGTTTATATTGTTTATAATGAATTGATTGAGGAATACTAAGAAGATTGATAACTTTAAAAAATGAATGAGGAGGAGGGCAGTGAATGATGTCCCAGGTCACTAAAGACCTGAGGTATGCGTGTAAGGGTTAATCTGCATTTAGTTTCCAACAGCACTGTAAGTGGTAGACCAATCACAACAGAATGGACTGTCTGACCAATCAGAGCAGAGGAAGCTCTGGGAGAGGAAGGGTTTAGAGAAAACGAATCCTTTATCGAACTGCTTCTGACACTGAGAAAAAGAGTTGATGCTGCAAATGTATATTATGAGAAAATTAAAGTGTTTTTTGACCTTGGATGCATGTAAACCTATTGTAGGAGATCTCCAAAACAGGAACTGTAGGAACCTTTAAAATAGCATAATAACATAACCGTTTTGCTTTAAAAAATAATTTTTATACAAATAAAATAAATACAAAATAGAACTTCTATTACAATTTGGATCATAACTCTTATGTGGGTGAAGTTTAAACTGGAAAATTATTTATTGTTTATTACAAACTAAAACTGCTCAAAACAAAACAACAAAAAGGCAGCTAAAAGAGTGAGAGACAGAGTCATGTTATTGCATATCTTGTTTGGTAAGTTTAAAACATTAAAAGAGACATACAAATTTAAAATAATTATTATCTAATATATAAAAGTATTTATCATTATATTACTTTTGACAAGTTCAGATTTCTGAGACGATCACAATAAAAAGAGAGATGCAACACAATCATCTGATTTAAACTTTAAATCACACTATGCATGCACATTTCATTTAAGAAGTTCACACTTTAGTCATATCGGTGTCACAGGCTAATCATTCTATCATTTTTTCCCCTATTATTCCCAAGTCAATATTTGTGCCTTTCTGAATAAGGTGTCCAACTTTGGCACAACCCTCAGGTCAAGGACAGATTTATAGACCGAAACGGGACTAAAACACTTTCAAAATAAGAGCACAAAGAAGAAATAAGAATAATAGACAATGAAATTGTGAGGCTTTCACTGGTTGCTAGAGGAAGTCTACAAAAAGTGGGATGCTACACAAATATTTGGTTTTATTTTATGTTGGAATCCTATAAGAAAATTCCTTTTTGGATGATTCCAGACTCATGGGCTCATAGCCACAGACATCTAAACAGTTCCTTTCAGCTGAGACCTAGAAATCAATTGTAACTGGCAACATTGCAATGTGCAGGTATGCATTGTAGGTATGCATCAGGAATGCCGAAATCAATGAGCTTATAGAGGCAATACAGTGGCAAATAAGATGTTATGGTAAGCTGAAGCTCATGGAAGCAGAAAGGAATCATTTGCTTGGCATGGGGAGTTGAAGTGAATTTAATTGGACACTCTCAGTGCAATGGGAGGACCAGTAACTGCACACACTGCAGCTTCTGCTGGTAAAATATGGTAAGCAGAGCTGCTGAATGGCTTTGTTTCTGTGTCCATATCTGTGTACATGATATTATAACAGGAATTTGAGACTACAATGGGCTGCCAATATCTGCTTTTCCAGCTTTTCAATATCTCATATGAAATAGCTTTGGGAAATATTGATGCGTTAAGCAGCTTGTTGCTCGTCTCTCAAACAAGCCCTATATTGTAATATGGTATCATCATGTTCTCACAATGCTGAGTGAAACATTACATTATGAAAGCAAACAGCCTGTGAGATCATGTTTCTAGTGCACCTGCTCATGCACTGACAACAGAAGCTTGTTTCCATGTGCAAAATAGAGAGACTGGAGATGAAAAATAAAGAAATAGACTAAATAAATAAATTTAAAACAATAATAATAAAAAAATAGTAATGTACACTGTCCAATAGTAATGTCAGCAGATAAAGTTCAGGGAGGGAACAACATGTCATATGTCAATAATTGTTTTAATGTTTTAATTTCAGATAACCGATAAAGGGCAGATTTAAAAATACTACACTATCGATACAAATTTTTGGTTAAAAGATTGAAAAATAAAACAAAAAACATTTTAAATGTTACAAGCAAATTTAGGCATCACAACATTATACTGCACAGTATGAAAATGTATTCATTTTCAAATTTCCTAAAGAATTGAACTGTGATACTAGATTATTAGTGTTTTTAAATATTCACTTTAAGTGAACATTAGATGATGCCAAAAAAAGCTAATCTAAATATAAAAATAGTGGCAATTAACAT